TGAACATTTCCTTCACGTTGATCTGTGATAACCTGCGATATCATCAAACCTAGGACTGAAATGAAATAAGACGTTGATCGTTTTTATGAAACTCACCTTTTAAGGATCACATGAAATTTGGGGGCCATGCAGCAAGTTTCAAAACGTGGAGATAGGGAAACCCGTTCCTGNCCTGTGTCTCAGACAAAAAACATCCATTGCAGTTTATTTTAGTGATGTGTTGAGACTCTGCAGATCAGATTGTTGGACACGCATAAATAAGCCCACGTCGCTCGGGAGCAGTGGTACACCACGATCCTTCAAAATGTTGTACCGTTCGCACGGGTCTGCATAATTGGGAAAAATTATACTGGGACATTTTGCGTAGACCTCTGAACAAAATTGCCCAGAATAAATGATCATTTAGCCGGAAGAGCATGACCTAAACAATGCCAGACAAAAAGCCATATTCCTAAGGTTCACCATCTTGAAACGTGTTTTGTTTTACAATCATCCAACTAGAAATGTTGAGATGCCAATGAATTTTATTGATGCAGTTGTTTTTCTCTGTTATTTGCGGGAAGGCTCAACACATGTCCACTCACTCTGTAAGGAAATCAAAATGAAACAACTGGTTCAATTGACCGCCCCGAAAGCATGGGATTGCTATATTGATATGCATGACCACACACAATCACCGGTAGGGCCTTTGAATTTCGGCCGCGCTATCCGTGTCTCCATTACCGGATTATCCACTGCATAACACTAACTGTGTCTGAAGTTCTTTTGCATCATTCGCATGATCGTTTACCTTGGTTGCCAAGGCGAGTGTTGTGCAAATGCAGTAATTAGAAATCTGACTCAATACACTCCGCATTTCGGGCATTTATTCAAATGGACCAAATATAGAACTAAACCTGTTTTGGGAGGACCTTAAAGAATTAAAGGTAAAGAATGTTGAAAAAGCTTTCGACAAATCCGAGAGGGCATCGAGTCGGTGGTCAAGTGCTCATCGGAAACAAACCCTCTCCCGTCTGTGCGTTGCCATCAATGTCTGTTGTAACAATCGATCTCTTATGGAAAATATGATCAATATCACCAGCTGAGGTGACATCATCACTGCTTATGAAGTGGCCAGTTCACGAACCGTTTGCGAAAATGTTGCCAATCACGACGAACAGGCGAAATGGAATTAACTGTACTCGAGCGACCAGAAGCGATTTCCAATATTTCGTCAACATTGTTATCTTTTCCACTGGGTAAGATGTACATCTGAATTCGGCTCTCATGAACCTTCCCAATTTATTTCTTGTACAATGCAGCTCCCCACTGAGATGTTGACGCTTTTTCCTACCAATTTTACCTAAGGAACTATCGTCTCCTTTTGCATGAAGCCGTGATCACAAGTTGCAAGAAATACTGCGTCCTCCGGAAGATCCGACGAGGTTGATGAAGGTGATCAGGTTTGCTGACCTTAGTTTGTTCTCTTATCCCAAACCTTCCTTTTCCTGTGATCAATTACCAAGCTATTCAAATTTGTTTTACAAGGTTTTTTGGGTCCCGGAGGCAAATTGCATTCGCTTCGATCGATTCTCTTCCCCACATCTCAAACAACTCCGTCAAACATAGGCGTATTTCTTCAAAATGCATACTCGCGACCAGTTGCGCTCTCTTTCTCTATACTTGCGGGCTGAACTCCGAAAGCTAAATTGTTTCTACTCCCGTCCTCGGCTCGAACACAAAGCTATCCGTGGGACGTGGCGAGCTCTCATACGCATTTCTGGCATCACAATCTCACACCGCGCACCTGCTGCGGTGGACATAGACGGTCTGAATCAGATATTCTTCAACGGTGGAAAAGCTCTTACTGCTCTCCTTAATGGATATGAAATAAGCATGACTGATCCCGTCTCCAGTGTCGCATCTGTCGATTTTATCAAGTGTTGACTCGAATAAATGATCACAAGTCCTGCGGTCCCGACGGAGTCACATTCGTTCTCTGCCTACTCATACTAAACATCTTGGCATAAATTGTGAAAGAACCTCTATTATGTTCTCCTGACTAACGGAAGTACTTTGTGAACGGATGTGATTTTTCACCGAACACATCAAATGTATATGAACTTAGTATTGGCGTTCTCATTGATAACCACGATATTATTCGTCAGTTTTTCCGTTCCGAACAAGCCACGTGTGATCGGCAGGTTTAAAAAGAAGCGAGTTTGCACCGCTATCACGTGGTTTGATGGATCATATACGTCTGCATGTGTCCCACCGTTCCTTAGCTCATGTCTGCTGGTATTTCGGAGATATAATTATCAGTTACTGATTCTTACAATGTTGTATGCATATAAATAAAATTATCTATCTATCTATCTATCTATCTATCTATCTATCTATCTATCTATCTATCTATATATATATATATATATATACATATATATAGTTAAATGTATCGTCTTAGTAAAGAATTGTTTCGCGAAATCTCATTCGACACCAATTAGAAAAATATCGCCCAAAAGCGGCCTAATTAGATTTGTACATTTCAGTTGGCAATCTTGTTCTGCGATGGTCGTTGTCGCCAGTGAATTTGAACTATTCAACGACCATAAATCCTCGCGTTGTCCACAGTCTTCACATCTGGTATTGTTGAGTCAACACTATGATGTGGACCCGTTTCTGGTTCGATCACTCGCCTTGTTCACCAGCCACCTTTCGTTTTAGCTCTTGATCCGAATATGTATCCCTCTGAGTAAGCTCTCGAATTTAAGAACCACTGCACACTTGACTCCCAAAGTCGTGGTATCATGCGGAGAACAAATATCACTGAATGAAATGGAAATCATGAAAAGAACAAGATGATTGTTGTCGCGAAGCAGTTTCTCGAGCGAACTCGATCACATCTTTACAACGGTTTAGCGAGGCAGCGAGAATGCGCACATCACGTGAAGGCTACGTTATCGTGTACATGCGATTGGGCTTAGTATGCACGTTACCCGCTGTAAAATCGGTTGATAGGAAACTGCAACTATCCTCGGTGAATGCACACTTCCACGGCCGTTATTTTGTTAACGCAACAACCGCGTTTATTGAAAGCGG